ACAGCTTAGGATCTGTAGGTGAGACATGACGTTCACAAACGTCATAACCACACGATAAAAACTGCGCGTGACGAGCAGAAACGTCACATTACTTTACCGATTAAGGTCACTGGCACGGAGATCGGGTTAACCTGGAACTTTGAGTTGTGCTTGAAGTGTTTTTGCAGGCGGAGAGGCACGTTAGAACAAATGTTTATTGTGAAGGCGTCAATATGGAATATATTTACAAAAAAGTTCCCCCGAAATGTCGATGCCTACCCACACGTCCACATAGTGATGAAAGCCAGAAGACAATCACTGACCAAATAATTGTGTGCTTAGCTAATTAACAGATAATACATATTTGCGTTGTTGGCACAAACGTACAGTGACTGTTTCGTGAATCGATTTTGATGTTTGACGGAATGACTTGTGCCATCAGACACAGACACCCACATACTGGGTTCGTCACAATCCCTTCCTCATCCCTGCCCTCCCGCTATCAAGCTAAAACCCCTCGTTTAGCCACAGTGATGCTGAGGTTGACATTACGTAAAGTTTGCAACATCATATACCACTTGCCTTCGGTATATAGCGGTATCAGCATGTGGTATCGTCCTCAAAACTAGGTTATACTCTGATAAAAAAAACATTGCCGTTCTGAAAACAAAATGATTTCCGCACGGAATCAACTAAGTTACAAAAAGCTTAAATGCCTTTGTAAAATTTAATGAATGCACACTGACCTTTAAAACAGCATTAGACAATTGAGGACACACTGTATGTAGGATTACAGGCAGTACAACCTTTATATCGAACAGAAGCCACAACGAATCGAAGCTTCTTAAAATAGCAAAGAGGAAATAAAAACTGTCCTAGTCAAAATCCGGCTGTTTTGTATTTTAATTGAACAAAGATTTCAAAAGTAAGCACGCGTTCCGTGGTAACTCTTGATGAACGTCAGCTGACATTCAAATTCTGCATTGTTCGTCTCTTTAAAATTGCCAATGAAAACTCACAAATAAGGTCACGTCATCATTTGACCTTTCGGAAAGTGTTATTACGACATTAAACATTATTTCGTCATTAGTATTTGTAAAAACTCACAAAAAAGGGAAGAATGGAATATAACCTCCAATTAACTTCCTAAATCACCAGTTAACAGTAAGGACACTAGCAGCACTTAATATATAATCCTTAAATTATATATTGTAACGGAGCTTAGTAAAATATGTAATTTAATCAAAATAACTTTTTGTAGAGTGTAAAACTAAAATATGGCGTCGAGCAAAATTTTCCATTTATCTTTCATTTTGACAGACATAACTCAAAAACATTAATTCGTTATGAAGACACATTATAAGCA